TTTGGCTACAAGTCTTGTTTTAAATTTGTCAATTGAACCATCATATTTAAGTTTTTTCTTAAACAACCATCTACACCCAATTGTCTTACATCCTTAATGTAAGTCTACTAACTCCCAAGTATTATTAAAATAATTGAATCATATTCACTATTTACAGCTTCCTTCCAAAATATAGAATCTGGTGAAGACACAGTTTCATCAAAAGTACTAGGATCATCCTCTACTAGGTAGGTAAGGATGTCAGACCAAAATAAGTTGTGGTCCTAGGTCTTTTGCTTCTTCTAATTTCAGTTTTTTCTAATTTAGTAGACTTATCTCTAACACTAGGAAGAATACTAAAATAACTACTTGGTTATTCAGACTTTTCTTCAAAAGGAAATCTATTTTCAAAAAATTCAGCATCTCTAGTTTCAAAAATTGTGTTCTTTTTTATCAAATTATTTTTAGAGTCAATGACTAAAAATCTGTAGGCATTACTATGAAGATCATAGCCTATAAAAACACAATCAATAGTTTTCGAACCAAATTTAGTTCTTTTAGGTGCTGGAATAGAAGTTTTAGCTAAACATCCCCACATTTTAAAATATTTATATGAAGGTGTTCTGCCTTTCCACATTTCATCAGGAGATTTATTATTTTTCTTATTAGGAATTCTGTTAAGAATATAATATGCAGTAAGAAGGGCTTCCCACCACATGTTAAGAGGTAATCTAGAAGAGTTTAGCATTGAAATGACTATATCCTTTCGAGTTCTATTTTTTCTTCCAGCTATATCATTAGATTGGGGATAATAAGGTGAAACAGTCTCATGAATAATACAATTCTCCTACACAAAATTTATCAAGTATATTTTCCTCTTTCAAATCTTAAAATTTTAATAGTTTGTTTAATTGATTTTCTACTTCAGTTTTATATGAAATAAATTTAGAATAACTTTCATCATTGTTCTTAAAAAAATATTTATTTCCACCACGAGAAACATATCATTTTAAATCACATAAATCAGAATGTATTAAACTTAAAACGGAAGTAGTTCTATCAACATGAGGAAATGGTTTTCTAGCATACTTGGATTCAACACAAGTTTCACATTTTGTATTTGGAAAATTATCAGTTCTTGAGAATATTTTCCAAACTCATTAATTTTTTAATAGAAGTTTTATTAACGTGTCCAAGTTTAACATACCACAAATCATAAGAATCCAACAAGTAAACAGCAGAGGTAGGTGCTTTATTATTAATCACAGAAACATTAGTTTAAACAGACTCTGATATGCATACCATTTCCCAACAAAAAACCACTATCAGACAGTACAACTTGACCACTCTCATATACAATTTTAAATCTTTTATTGACTAAGATAAATCCAGAAACTAGATTTTTTCTAATATTTTGTGCATAAAGGACATCCTTCAAATTAATGATATTTTTAGAAGCAAATCTAAGTATCACTGTTCATTTCCCCTCGATTTTGGAGGAGGAATCATTCCCAATGAACAGACATTCTCCATTACTAAAAAGAGTGAATGAAGAAAATGTACCTCTCATGCAGCAAACGTGCTTGGTAGCTCTAGAGTCTACCCATTAGTCTGTCATGTTACTTACTAGATTTACTTCTATCACCATAGCAAAGAAATTCCCATCTTCTACCATATGTGCATGATGCTTCACAGTTTTTCCTTTTTTATTACTGCAGTCCTTTGCAAAAGTGACCTGGTTTACTACAAACAAAACAGTCACCAATAATTTTATTTTTAAATTGGGGTTTAGACCGATTGTTCTTTTTACAAATTACTTTCCCTTGTTTCTACCTTTAAAATTATGACCCTTGGTAAAATTTTCAATATGTTTCTTACTGTCAGAACTTCCTTCAATAAGATTAGCCTTGGTATCCAAATTTTGCATTTCTCTACGTTCTGCTATTCTATTGTCCTCCTCAATTCTAATCCTGATAATCAGATCCTCTAAAGACATTTCTTTTTTCTCTTATGTTTCAAACCGTTTTTATAATATTTCCAAGAAAGAGGTAATTTTTCAATTATAACAAACACTTGAAAGCCCTCATAGAATTTATATCCCCCAGCAATAATTTCGTGAATTATAATCTGCAATTCTTCAATTTGATTGACCACAATCCTAATGTCATCCATTTTAAAATCTAAAAATTTTCCCACAATAAATTTCTTAATTCCAGCATATTCAGTCTAATGAATTCCATAATTCTCTAGCAGATTTACACTATCAATAAACATCATATAAATCTAACGTCAAACAATTCAGAATATAGTTCCTGCACATATAATCCGTATGTTCCCAATTAGCTAAATCCTCTGTTTTCTTATCAGTAGGCTTATCAGAAATTACAAAAATGGGTTTATCAGATTCAATAGTATCAATGACTTTAAGAGTTGTCAAATAGAATCGCAGTTTCATTTGCCATTTCTTAAAATTCTTTCCATCAAACAATTCAAGTCTTTTAGAACACTTAGAAACAAATATATTTACGGCAGACATGACAACTAATTATAAACGAAATTTCACTTTAGATTGTTGGAAGAATAATTAGTTACAGTGAGTTGCAGAACAGTAAATGTAAAAATAAAGGTTATCGACTGATCGAATCTCGTGACAACATGATGTCCTAAAGTGAAATTGCTCATCGACAACTGTTGCGACCTCTTTGGACAATGACTCCCAAAATATAACGATTACAAACCATTTGTGCAACAATTACGAATGGTTTCCCAGAACTCTCAATTGTACTCCAAAAAAATATTTTTTTTAAAAAAAAAATCGAGTATAAAAAATATCAGAGTATGAAAAACTACAACTTCGTTTCTGATTATTTCGTTTTTTTATGTGTATTTTTTTTTTGGCAAACGAGATGTGAGTATATATAGGTAGACTGTATGTAACTGTAGTCAATGAAGCCCAATGCCCCAATTAAAGACCTTTTAATTATTGCGTGAAAATTGACCTGAACCCCCGACGTCCCACAAAAATTCTACACTTTCCACCACTTGGGCACTCTATTTAAATTAGTTATTTCTTTCACATATTATATTTATTGTATAAATATCTAACAAAAAGAAAGAGAAAAAGAAAAGCAGAGGCGAGTTGCGGATCGGAGAGTGCTAAGAGTTGCTTCACAGTTGAATCAAAACTAAGCAACATTTCCGTAAACTACACCATATTCCACCAACCTATCCATACAAACCGTGCATCTATGTATCTGAATTCATTATGCAACAAAAGAAAACGAAAACGAAGAAGAAAGACTTGAAAATTTGTGGGCAAATACAGTGTCTTTATCTAATTCGAAAAATTGGAAAAATGAGAATCAGTGAGAATTTTTTGAGATTTGACTTGAAACTTTAAAAAATTTTGCTCTTATTTGCGGATAACTTACGTTTCGGGTCTGGAGAACTTGAAGATTCGTAAAAAAAGTGAGTAATAATATCACTGATAATCCCTCCGTCCCAATTATACAGGCTTGTCTCATTTTTCACACAGGTTAAGAAATATTCTTTAATGTTATTGAAAAATTAATTGTTGTCAAAATCCTTTCTAGTTTATCCTTTTTAATTTTAAGTATGTAGTAGTAAATTATTATTAAAATTAATAAAGAATTTGAATGATTTAATTTGAAAAGAAGATATGAGAGTTGTTTCATATTTTCAAAAAATGAGAAATGTACGTATTTGGATTATTTCAAGAAGTTGATATATTAAGTGGGGAAAAATTGAATAAGGGTACATTGGTAAAAAAACAACACAAAATATTCTAAATTAGGAAACATGCTTATATATTTAAGACAAAAGAAAAGGGAAACCTATCTTATATAATTGGCATGGAAGGAGTATATTTTTTCAGGTTCAAAGTAAATAATGCATGTGATTAATCGTGCAATTAAACTATTATTTTCTAAATTTGATGGAAATGACCTGTAAAACACGATTATTATGTGAGGTTGTCGGGAAGGACCATGTCGATGCTCTAACGGCTATTTTTTTGTCGCGAATTTATGGATTCAGGGGGAATGGGTCACGCGCTACTTAGTTGCGTGGTTGGGCAAAATTTTAGCCATCATTTCATTTCATTTCTATTTTTTCCCCTTTATTTAAATAATTAAATTATTGTTTTGTGGGGTGAAGGCGATGACGAGGAAAATGGTGGAGATTTGTTTTGAGGAATGTTGAGGGTTGTAAGGGTTGGGGAGGGGACGGGGAGGAAGAAGATGGTTATTTATTTATTTATTTTTTTGGGGGTTTTTAATTTAATTCATATGGGATTGACTAAAATTCCCTTACTTATAATGATCAAAATATTCAATTTTTATATTTTCAGGTCAACTAACGGTTTCTATCCATTTGGACCTCTGCTGCATATTTTTAAAAGGTTAGGGACCTTTGTTAGCGCAAATTGAAGGTTAAAGTAAATTATGCAAAAATTGAAAAAGTGAGGGACTGTTGCTGCAATTTTCCTTTAAATCAAATTTCTTTAAGAATTCGATTAGTAAAATAATATACTTTCAGAAAACTATTCAACATGTTTAAAAGTAACTTTTTAATTATAGACGCAGCTTTTAACTTTTTAAAAGTTCCATCAAACGAGCCCAAAGCTTTTTCGAGAATGCATGTGCCGTGAAAATTTGTTGCTAAATCAAGGGTAGAGAATTCTTTAGGCACTTCCGTGTCACCCACAATCAAAGAGGATATAAGTGTCATCCTCCATCCATGTAAAAAGTCGAGTTCGTAAAGAGGAGACACAGTTATTTAAATGCTTCTTCGAGTGAATTTTGAATTCATTATTTATTAAAGCATAAGACGTGTACAATTTTAAGAAATGGATGGTATCAAGACTTGATCGCAGCAGTCTTCTCTTTCTGCTATTTGTTTTCTTAACCACACAGTGAAGGGCAGTCTCACTTACAGTTACAAGGTTGGATGAATCTAATCTACTGCAAATAAAGCTATTTAGAAAGATGGTAACGGACCAATCCACACACAAAACAAAATGTTGAAAGATGGATTGAATAGTTTTACAAATCATATTCATATTCAACAACTAAATGGAAGTTAAAAACCTATACATATATGAAACTTTAATTGTTTGTTTCTGATTATGAACAGACTGCTCTAAAATTATAAAAGACAGGTTAAGAATCAATGCCGGGGCCGGTGGAGGGGGGAGTGAGAAAGGGTATCTCAAGCCCTTTTCAGTTTTCACCCTTCGTCATTGGGAATATACAGACGATAGTTGTCGTGAAATCATGACGTTAAAGATACACATGATGGACCGGTTAGTTACCTCCCGGACATCAGATGGACTAAACCCTGATTTTCATAGAATGAGCCAATGTCCCAATCCTCAGTTGAAGATGATAGTGTCATCAGTGCAACTACAATTGATCTCATGCTTGGCCTCAGTTGAGGATTTTCATGTGTGCACGCTTTCGCGAGCTGAGCCATCTGCAAACAAACCAAAAGGATTAGGCGTTCCATGACTACTATGGAAATACAAAATCAGTTCCATGCCTGATTCGTTAAAAGATTTAACCTTAGCGACCGAATCAAGGGGACAATTGTCGCCAAGCCTTGGATCAACTAGTTTTCGTACACCTTCTGTAGGATCCGTCTGGCTAAAAGCGTCCTCAAACTGTAAATCATCAACATTCGAGGTTGTAAAACCATTTCTACTGAGTGGTTTAAAGGTATATAATGTGATTAAATAAGGTTAATTCGAAGATATACCAGAGCAACAAGTCCCTTTGATTCTGTTATAACTTCATTTGTCTTCACAATGGCTTCCTTAGCGGATATTAGTTCGAAAAGAACAACCCCAAAAGCATACACGTCTATTTTGGGAGAAACATCGCCATACTGTGCATACCTGCATGCAAAGCAAATTTATACAGAAAAAGGTCCTTCACCGAAAATGAAACAAATAATTCAGAATGTAAAAGGTGTTTATCATTGAAGACGTATCAACCATAATGTGAATTGGTTAACATTGCAAATTTGCAAGGAGAATGAACAAAGATATCTTAATATTTAATCCAATTTCTTTCATCCTATGATAAGCACTTTGATGCAATGTTACAAGTCTAAAGTGTTGTACTGATAAATACGAAGTATTAAAGAAAGTTGAAAGTTAAATAAAGGAGCAATTATTAATTCAAATCTAACCAAATAAAAAGAAAGGCACAAGATCTCACTCTGGAGGCATGTATCCGAAAGTTCCCACGAGACGAGTGTGCAAAGAAGCACTCCCCACTTCAGTCAGTTTTGCAAGGCCAAAATCAGCAACCTAAAGAGTATATAATTCAGCTTAAATATATTTATCGCAACTTGGTTTTTAATTAATGTGCACAGAATCTTATCACCTTTGCACGGCAGTTTTTGTCGATCAAAATATTTGCAGACTTAATATCACGATGTATATAGAGAGGAACGGTATGCTCATGAATGTATTCAAGTCCTCTAGCTGAATCAAGGGCAATTTGCACCCTAGTGGACCATGGTAATTGTTCCTTTGCTTGAATCAAAATGAAAAACGTAATCATAAGACAGAATGCAAGAGAATCTCTGTTTCATAATATACAATATTGTTCTTACCTTGACCACGTAAATGTTCACTAAGGTTACCATTGTCAATGTATTCATAAACTAAAAACAAGGAACCTTCGACGCAGTATCCAATTAAATGCACCTGCATTAGGTCATCACAGAATTTTTTATTGTAAAGCCATGATCGAAAGAGAAATTGATATAACAAACTAACTGTGCACCATCAGCAATAAGAATTAGTGAAAACAGTAGAGCATTTTTTAAGTTTCTAACTCATATTTAGAGTTTATCAGAATGTATTTCAGGACATTCAAAGTATTCTTATAATTGGAACTTAAGTAGACTTGCTGACATTCTTTTATATAGAAGAACAAACAAATCTAATCTCATATTCAGAAGATGATCAACAATGGACAGAAAAGCTTAAAGGAGCGAGAAAAATACTGGGAGAGCATTACCAAGTTCACATGGTGAACATGTGTTAAAACCTTCAGTTCAGCCAGGAATTCTTTGGATGCTTGCATATCCATCTTCTTAATAGCAGCTTCCTGCAATTTCAGAAACATGGAATCTGAGTGGCTTTTCTATTAAACATAGTTTGGAAGTACATTTCTATGCAAAGAGATTATTAAGTGTTGGAAAAACTGGCACTGGCAATTGAACAACTGTCTGCCCGATAATAGAATGGTATGCAACATATTCTCCACGATATTTTGTAATTCGCTTGCTCACTTGAATAATCTTCTTGAAACCCCAACAACGCAGTATTGTTAAGGATAAGAAATCAACGCAAGAAAGCACCAGTCATCTCAAGAATCATGCCATAATATGCTGCTCTCTTCATCTATGTTAGTCAGAGGTATCTAATATGGAGTGGTTACTGAGCGACAACTCCACTCAACATCCTTTCAGTAAACAAAATTATCAAGTAACATATACTGGTCTTTCCAATGTTGTCTTCATAAAGTCGAGCTCAATCAAGTCCAGGGTTTTACCATGAAGATTCTATTCCAGCTACATGTCTTTATTTTCTCTTTGAAAATCCATATACAGATAAAAACTCAAAACTTGAAGATAGTCAACTGATTATATTTAGTAAACTGCAGTACTCTTGATGAACATGAACTTGAATTTGAATAGACTAGTTAATAGTTAATTCCTAGTAAAAAGTCAGACAGAACTAAAGGATAATCAATTTTTCATTAGTCGATAGTACTATGAATAGCACGGTCTATGCAACACGAACCTCGCCTCTAAGCTCTCCATGGTAAACAGCTCCAAAGCCACCTTTACCAATCTGATGAGAGATGTTAAAGTAATTTGTAGCAACTGCCAGTTCCTCATATGAGAATTCAACTGATTTATCCACAGTGATACCCTTGAGCCTTGGAGAAGCGGTAGCAACAAGAGGACCAGATTCTGATGTTTTCTCCAGCATGTCAGGACCTAAATCCAAGAGGAAGCATATGATTGTAATTAAATTACTTGCCAGTTTCTAGCCTAAATTTAGTATTGCTATGAGACACAGAGAGACCAAATATAGCTATATCCTTCAGAATTAGACAAATTGATTCATTCTTATTTCTTAGATCAAATGCCCATTTATTATTCATCTTTCCACCCAAGACCCTAATACGCAAAAAAAAAAAAAAAAAAAAAAAAAAAAGGGAATTATCATGCCAATTACCGGGTGTATTCTCTATGCCTTGGTCATTGAGAATAGATTCTTCCATCACCTTCTTCCTTCTGTAGAATATAAAATAGATACAGACTGCCAAAAATATTACTCCCGCAACTGCTCCAATTGATATTCCAGCAATGGCTCCACCTGAAATTCCTGCTATATATGACTCTGATTAGACTTCCAAAGGATTAAGGAAATCAAGGTAAGAACTATTGGACCATGAGATACAGAAGATTCAACCAGTTGAACTGCAAAAACACACACAAAAAGCAGGATATTAGATAACAGCGTTAAAAATAAAACAAAAATCTTGAAGACTAGGAATTTTTAAGGTAGTATAAGTAACCTTGATTTCAATGGCGGATAAATTCCATTTCGATCTGCAGTAAACGGAAACGAGCAGACATCAATCACTGCTATTCAAGAATCGAAAATTCTGTACAGCATAAATATGTAAATATAATCCCCAAAACCAAAATATTGAATGTCTATACTAGTATGCTGCTCTTGATATTTTTCATTTTAGACTAACTAATTTCTCATTTCCTGCCCAACTGGAGACCTTTCTCTGACTTAGCAAAATTTTTTATGAAATAAACAAAAATAAAAGAAAGCATGGGCCCTTTTTCTGATACCTTTTCCCAACATAAAAAGGTAAAAAAAAACTCCATTCCTATACTGTATTGTGATATTAGAATTCTTCGCTAGGAAATCAATTACCTCTTCCCGGAATGAAAACCAAACCACTACTGCGGCTGAAATTCACTCCAGGATTGTAATCCTGTAACAACCCCTCAGGAAGGCGAAACTCATTGGCTATTGAAGACAAACTTTCACCAGGGCGAAGAGGATATGTTATGAATAGCCCATAATCCTTGGACACGTGGCTATTCCCACATGAACAATTCACAGTAACTCTCAACTGTGCATTCTCTGGTATTCCAGTACGATTATAACCATTAAACCTCTCTAACATTTCAACTGTTGTAAGATTTGAATAATAAAGTTCCGCGATCCTTAGGTAAGTGTTTCCACGCCTGACCCGAAAGGGAAACTGATTACCCATAAATTCACCATTTACACAACTACACCAGAAGGGCACATTTAATCTGCTGCCCATTCGAATGATATCTGGATTGGTAATTTGAGGATTGTAACTAACAATAGCGCTGATATTAGTCGACAACATGGAGGATATGAATGTGAGATTTGATCCACCCCAGACATAGAATGAAGCTAATGCGTCACATCCTTCACTGCATTGTGAATTAACTCCAACCCAAAAAAAGGTCATAACCAGAAAATCAAGTAAAAAACTAATCCTCCTATCTCCCACCATATTTCCGGATGATCAAGAAAATCTTAGGATAATTTGAAATCTGAAAGTCTAGCAGATGAAAGGGATTTCAATCAACACAGATTAAGAATCTGTTCTTGGTTTGAAAGGGTAAGAAATTCTATCGACTTTGGGTTCATTAGTTGACTGAAAAAGTATACTTTCAACTTTGCATTTTTTTTCCAAAGTGGTTTACTTTAAAAAAGTGGTCTTTGATACTTGAAATGTTTATTTGGCGGTTGAGTAAACGGTCATCCACCCCGTCTCACATAACCTAATTTTACCGCGGAAATGGTAGGCGGATGACTGGGCCTAATATTTCAGCTAGCCCAATAATATGTAGACAGTTTCTCCTTACAAGGATGGCCCACCACTGATAATTATTAAATATATAAAATTATTAATATTATTATGAGATTACTACTAATATTTTTCAATTTATTAGCAGCTGTCAATTGCAAATTATGCATAATTTATTCAGAATTAGTCAAAATAATTGTTTAATTAATTGAAAGAAAGGCCAGAGAAGCAAAAATTAAGAGTAATTTACTGAAAAATGGTTAAAAGATAATCCTTTATTTAATTGCGAGAAAGCTTGGTAAGCAAACAGTCGTCATTAGGTGCATGATCTTTTTATTTTGTTGTTTCTTCTGTCGTGTGGTGACGAAGACAAGAATTAATGCCAAATTTCCCAGATCATCATTTGATGTTGATTTTCCAAAAATAATTTTGTAAATTTTAAAGGATCTCTACCAAATTAGGCATAAGTTACATTGTAAAATGTCCCTTTTGCCCTTATTTAATATTTCCCAAATAAATTTGTTGAGGGTATTTATGTCATTTGTATTATATATTTTTTAATACAATAATTTTTTTATTAATATTAATATTATTTGTATTTAAAATAAATTTTAAATGTAAGACATAATAATTAATTAATTAATTAAAAGACGAAAACAATTTAAAATACATCAAATACGATTATTTATTAAAGTTAGCACGAAATATATTAAATAGCGACATACATATGATAATCTAATTACTCCTCCAGCTCAATACATCATTCAAGGAAGACAATATAACGTGGGTTACTATCTAGCTGATAGTATATACCCAAAATGGCCTACTAGTGTGCAAACAATTCATGAGCCGCGTGGTCCCAAAAAAAAGTTATTTGCTATGAAACAAGAACTCTGTAGAAAAGATGTTGAACGTGCATTTGGTGTCCTACAATCGAAGTTTGCAATAACGAAAGGACCTGCAAGGTTTTGGGAAAAACAAGTATTACATGATATAATGACTACATGCATAATAATGCATAACATGATTATCGAGGATGAACGTAATGTTGATGCACCAGTTCAAGGATGGATGGAAGCGTCAAGTCCAGAAGTTGAGTTGGTTGAAGACGAAAATCGATATTTTCAGGAATTCCTTGCTCGTCATAGACAAATCAAGGATAAAGAAATCACATTGCACTTCGAAATGCATTAATCGATCATTTGTGGGATGAACATATGAATTCTGAGAATTAAATTGCAAAAATTTAGTGACTTTGTAATATCGTCTATCCAATTTTAAAATGCACTGTACTATTTTCTGATGGCATGATTTCATATTTTCGTTGTTGTAGTATTTTTATTAATTGTTCTATGTTTTTATATTTATTAATGAATTTAATCTTTTTCGTAAT